CACCTCGTGATCTCGCTACAATTACAATCCTCTGCTCAACCATCAATTCATTCGTGAGCTCCTCGCTAGAACTCGTCACACATGTTACGTTTTACCAAATGTCACATATATATCACACCGCATGTGCGTATCATTGCATACAGCAATTGTACAGCTGCATCTATTCTACTACACACATCCTACAGCAGTAATGCGCTGTATTTCAACAATACGTCAACATTTTAGCCAAATGAGGAATCGTGCACCAAGGTTACCGGCACCGAGTCTAGACAACCATCGCGGTGATGCTAATTACCAAATCCGCCTTGGAGTGCAAGACATTGACTCGCAATCATTCGACTTCCCCTCGGAACATTTCGAGCTAAAACACACGGATTTGGATGATCCACAAAATATCACATGTTCTCACTGCAATCAATGCTCAACTTTGAAAAGAAGACAAAATATGAAATTGTTGTGACAAAGAAAAGTCGTGTATCCATCCTCTCAAATCTATCCCCCACCATCTTATGGCGCTGTTTGAAACTACACTAGATTCGTTTCTGCTCAAAGAAGGTACAACGGGCTTTTCGGATTTGCTGCATTAGGCGCAGGGGTATTCAAAAAAAGACATGGTGAACCGCCAGCAGCCCCTTCAATGCTCACCTTGCATGGACGGACGTGCTTACCACCGCATATAATATATATTCGACCTCCAACAACAATATGAGAACTATTCCGTGTCGAACAGCTTGAGGTTTTACATATACGACTCTGAATTCACACAGAACACTTCATCCCTTAAATTAGACGCAAACGTCGCGACAACTTTACGAACGCATGTGCACAATACCATTCCGTGGGCATTGCAATACCGATCTGCTGTAGATTGCTTTATTACCTAACGCCCACCACGCTGAATCCGCGGACCCTGCGTACATTGAGTTCGCTGAAGTAAGCCGAACAAACGACGGACCCGTTGTAGGTGAAAAAGTTTCAGCACCGGAAATTGCAGCTTTAGTCTTCACATCAGGTCAGGAAAACAGCGGATCACGTGCTGTAGTAACTTATCCACGTTACAGTCCGGACGACAAGCCTAGGTTCCTGCCCCTGTGGAGTGCAGCGCACGAAACTCTTCAGTTTCCGATGCTAATTCTCCACGGCTACGTTCTTACTGGCGCAAGAGTAGAGAGGCGACCGTAGCTTACATCTCTTTTTCGTCCGCACCGGGCGAAGCTAGACAAAACTTCACGTACACGCGACTCTTTTGGCTTCATGTTACACCGGGAGCGGCACATTTCTCAAATACAACGCGAACATCGTCACACCATTCATTCGATCACCCTGCGGTTTCATGCCCTTGGTATGTTATGCACAGCCTTCACACCTACCTTCCGTTTAAGCCTACTACTGAGGACGAGGGCGCGTCTGCGCCCGAAGTCCGGAGCCCTTGTACTACTATTATTACTATGCGATGCAAACGTCCGTTCGAGTGTCGTGCGCCTGCCACATGTCCACCAACAGGTACATGCAGAGCTCCCGCTCTCTCTGTAGTTGTTGCCGCGCAAAGGCTCTCCTCGGGGATCTTCCGCATCGTATATACTATAGTATATACTGCGGTACTGCTGTACATAGAAGTCGTGATGGGAGTGTCGAGGTACTTGTGTTGTCACGGCAGCCTCCTGCCGTTGCGATTGCCATCGTTGCTTAAGCGCTTGTGCCTTCAATCCTTCTTAGCCGGCCTTCAAATTTCTTCCTGATAAGCCTCCGTGTTAACTTCTCCGCGAATGAGTCATATGCAGTTATGACCTGCGCTTTGACTTTCACGATGGGTATTTTACCTCCCCGTCTTGCATTGGTGAGTACCTGCGCTACAAGGAAGGATTGCATTAAAGTACGACTTTTTTCCCCTGGTTTTTCCTTCCCCTATCCTTCTTTGCGTACCACATGTGTGTCATTAGTCGTCGTCGGCCTCCTCGATACTTGTGGATTACTGAAATTGTGGGAATCTCTTCATTCCGAGAGAGCCATATGTAGGCATCCGGCCTGGTCATTTTTTGTATGCGTTTTTCTTCTTGTGAAGTTTTGACGTTGCGTTTGCCATCGTCGCTTAAGTGTTTGTGTCTTCAAACCTTCTTAGCCGTGCAAATGGCACGGGAGAACATTCTCTCATCATTGCCTCCTGACGTGGTCGCCGATAGAGGCGTGTGGTTGAGGTTTCATCACCGACATGTGGGTGTGTGTTAAATGTAGTGGGTATGGTTGCCTCTCTCGCTCGTGTGTAGGCAGAAGGTATGGCTACCTCTCCCATGTGTAAGCAGCGCGAACCACAAGTAACGACAGAGTTTATCATTTCATGCATGCTACATCATTTGTAATTGGCACGGGAGGAATGAGAGGTTGTTCTAGCTTGTAAGGAACTTTTGACGGTGTGTGTATGGGTAGGGGGAGTACTCCCTGTGTCCGTGTTGTTCCCAGATGTTGTCGCATCACTTGGCAGCATGTGTCATGGACAGGTAGACGTGGAAGGGCAGCGACAGGTGAAGACAGCAGCAGTATGTTGTGCATCGTGGCATGTTGCGCTTGTACATATAACGCAGTCCATCTTCGATTATTTTGTAAGTGGACCACTGGGATTCGAACCCGTGCGTGGAACTTGGGTAAGAACGGTCTGACCATCAGACCATCGAGTCAACGTTTTTGACTGGTCAGATGGTCTTATTTTATCAAATAATGTACACCTCGATTTTTCGGGATTTCGATTGCCGATAGACAAGACTACGGAGTGACATGTCCCTTTCACCCCCGACGGGACCGCGCGCTCGTCGAGTGCCGAAACTCTTCACCGCTTCCTTGCCTCTCCCAACACCGTTCCATCTTCCCGCCCCTACAAAAACTCTCTCCTTCTTCTTCTTCCCTTCCTCCCGGACACTCACCACCATCCGTCCTGGATGTTGGCCCCCAGCCTCATTGGGGGGCGGGGGGCCAATCGTTCGTTAACTGAACAACGCAAAAAAATATCAAACAAAAAGATGCAGTTGTACATACTTCAGATTCAGTCGGTCCGCTGGCGCTTCTTCGTCTTTCTCTGGGTGCCACCTTTCTTCCGTTCAAGACGCTTGACCTCCATGAACTCTTGCACGTCCGTCAGGATGTCAGCGCCCTTCTCGCAGGAGCAGGTGGTGCAGAAGAAAAATTCATTTTGTCCCACTGACATCATGTCGTGAAGCTTAACGTCGTTGGAGGCAGGCTCTGTGCAACCGGCGCAGACGTTATTGGTGTCGTTGGGGAGAGGCTTCCCGACGCACTCGGCCCCGTCCCCGTCGATATACACGATCTGCAAGAGTAGCGAAGAAAACAGATCAACCTCGGTGTGGTTGGATACGCTTTCCCCTCAGCCAGAAAGGCCAACAATATATCGAACATACAAGCACGCACTATTACTACGATAGCCGAAACATGTCACGAAATCCACACACATGCGTGCATGAGTTCACTTGCACGACCAGTTCACCTATATACAGCGCAACGGGCAAAAACACACCTGCCTAGGGTTCTCCGTTCCAGTTCTTCTTCCCAGGATGGTCCATCATGCGGTACTATGCTCTCCGAAACATGTCACGAAATATACACCACATACAAGTTGGCCTACAGCTAAAAAAGGAAAACACACCTTGGGTTCTCCGTTCCAGTTCTTCTTGCCAATAGGATCCATCATGCGGTGGTACTGAACGCTGTACCCGATGGGCATGCGGCAAAAGAAGCAATTGAAAGAACGATTTTCTTGCTCTCGTCCTGCTCGTCCGGCTCCTCCATGCTAAGGGACACGTGCGCGTCACACGCGAGGCACCTGTCGACGCACAACAAGCAAGAAGGGTTCATGTTGGCATCATGATCCACAAAGAGGAGAGCGCTGCATACTTAGCAGACAATAAAGCGGCACGCACTCTCGCGCGTAATCAACAGCCACAGGATCACAGGATCATCATGTGGCTGTCAAGAGACGAGAGACACTTTCAACCCACCCAGCAGAAACGATCACACAGCTTAGCAAGTAAAGCACAAACAAGCCCGCGCAGAAAGGTTGGCAGCGTTGAAGAAGTAAGGCGCTCCTGTACGCTGCTGCCGTGACGATGACCATCGTTGCCAACGCGCCGCCAGCGTTGCCAACACAGAAACAAGGAAGACGGAAACTTCAGCACACTCACTTTTTTCCCAGGGAACAAAGTTCCCGGCCCGAACTCGGTGGATTTGTAGTTCAAGCAGGCCTTCTTCGCGGCTTCTTCCGGGGTAAGCTTCGGTAGCTCCTTGGGGGAATTCTCGTGTTGTCTACCATAATTCCCCAAGCCTTTGACGTGTCGGTGGGCATTGTACAAGACAAGACTGATGTGCTGAGAAATGAGAGGATGTGGTGTTTTTGTGTTGACAATGATCGGGGTGCGAGTAAAACGTGCGGGGCCCAGTCGTTCATGAACATGGCAAGTCACACCCCTTCCACCAAAAACTAATAATGTAATGATGGGTGGGCGGGTGGCTGGGGGACCCCAAAAAACAAAGCATGAAAAACGAAAAAGAACAAGACAACAAGTGAGCCAGGCGCGACAGGCTTGGGGGAGGAGGCTAAAGAAGCATAGAAAACCCAACCTGTTCGTCGCTCGCTCTGGGCCGTTGGAAGATGTCACCTTGCACTCCATGGCCAGTAATAGGTAGGGCCCAAGTCCATCGCTTGACATAAACAGGTAGAGCAAATCGCCTCACATGCAGCAGCCAGGTGCGCGGGTAGGCTCTTACTGAGCAAGAAGCTAAACCACCTGCGATTGACGTACAGTCGACCCCGCTTTAAGGACGCTCGTAGTAAAGAAACCCCCCGCTTAAAGGACGACTTTTTTCCAGAACCGAGGGGGCCGACAGACAGTACAAATAAAGGGGTATATACAGTTTCTATTCTGCGAACCCCCCTTTTTTCACCTGTGGAGTGCTATGTTTGGTTCATCAAACGCGCAACGATATAGAGCGCGGTCTGCTGCTGCTGCTGTTGGTACACATGAAGAGATTCCTACCGCCTACCGGAGGTTCCTCTGATACAAGCACCGGCAAGAAAACATGTGGGGAACCAACGTGCAAGCACAAGTCTCTGCTGATCACAGCAATCAGGGCAGGCAACAATGTTGGACGTCACCGAGATCCTCTCTCTGAGAAGTGGATGGAGTAGGCTCTCTGCCCAGATGGTCATCAGGTGCTGGCTGAAGGCTGCCATCCTTCCCAGGAAGCACTGCAATCTGCTCAAGAGCATGGACACGCGACTTGACCGAGAGAACAAGGACGAGCAGGGTGTCATCGACGACCTTTGCGACTTGGTCAAAAATATGTCGATGCCGACCAGCGTTGCCGATCTGCGAACTCTAGGTCCATGCCGCGAGTGTTGATGGAAAACTTGTGTGTCGAGAAGGGTGCAGGGCTCTCTGAGCAGGACCTCCGACAGGCATTTCAGACGTGGCTTACTGTAGAGGACGACCCCAACGTGAAGGAAGATGAGGTCGCGTTGGAACTGCAGGAAGTAGAGAAGGACATAGCTGGCTTACAAATTGACGATGACGTATCGAGTGACGAGGAGGACGGCGACAGTAGGCCGGAGTCGTGTATTACCTCGTCCCTCTCAGAGGCCGAGGTCCACTCTCTCTCGTTTCGAGGAGCTTCGCTCGTACCTGTATGCGAATGGAACGGGGGGCGAGTACAGCGAGACGCAGCATCTATCTTCTTTCGAAGACCGTGCATTCGTTCACTCATGAGACTCAGGTTAAGCGTAGATAGAGCGAAGCCGAGGGGAGAGGTGCAGGGAACTCTTCGCGATATGTGGAGGGAAAAGCCGTCAGGGTAGCTTGCTCTGTTTGAAACTTATAATTTGAAGTGTCTCTCACTACATCTTTGTTGGCAGTACACTTCAGGCGGCGCCAGCATGCAACAATATAGTGTACCACAATACTGCTGTGTACTGCTGCACGTACGTGCTCGGTTTTCACACCATCTCAATACAAAAAATATACTAATAATTTTGTTGAGATGGATCGACGAACAATAAGGTGCTGAAATTTCGTACTGCCCTTCCCTATCAATAGCCGAGTCGTTTAAGCTACAGCATGCCTCGATCGGCCCCGGGGTTGGCGAGTTATCGTCCCCGGAAAATTAAGGACAAAACCCGCTTTAAGGACGCTTTTTTCGAAGAAAAACCATGTGCATCCTTAAAGCGGGGTCGACTGTAGTTCGATGTTGTTGGGACCCCACCAACCGGCGAAAAGGCGAGGAGAGACAGGTACTGTAGGTAGACAACAAAGAAGAGAGCGGAGAGCAGACAAGGCATCCACTCTCGAAAAGACACCCACTCCCTCTCGTCCCTTTGGCCCACCGCAGGCTGTAAGACACGTGTAACGGACGGCGGTATCCGATGTGGGCTCAGCAACACAACCAAAGAACAGTGCGGACTCTCATCTCCTGTGACGAAGTGACAACAAAAAAGAACATGATGACCACTGCTGTACACGGACGAACTACAGTAGTCAAGTCCGTCCGCGATAGATGTGCACCGCTGCACGAAGGTGGGAACTGTCCGTTGCCACACACCTCACTTTTGTAAATAAGAGAGTGCTGCCATCTACCTTATGGCTCAAGTTACGACTGACTACGCAGTGACTCCAAAAAGGCAACACGCTTATACGATGTATTCCACACCACATGCATATGCCGCTTATACTGTGCGATGCATACCACCCATGCATATGCAGCAACAGAAAAAAAAGGCCTGCTGTTGTCTGTCTCTTCAACTGTTGTGCTGCTGCTGCAACAGGCGAAAGGTACGTGACGCGCATCGCCTACTACGCGAGCAACGCCTACGCGAGCAACGCGTGCAGCCCAAAGCGACAGAGACTGAAGCAATTCAGCAACAGCCGCATATATATTTTTTTTTTGTTCTTCACTTCAAATCAGCGCTCACAGCACTATAATAGTGCCGTTTATTCCAACCCGTGGTCACACAGAAGAGCCCCTCTCTACCCTCCCCTTCTGCGGTACTTTGCCTTCGATTTTTAATGCGAGAAGAGTTCAGCACTCTCTTCCCTCTGAACTAGCGCTATCCACTAGGCCAGGAGCGGAAGCGAGAGAAAAACTCACTTTGCAAGAAAAGCTCGCTTACGCCGGGATTCGAACCCCTGACCTGACCTCTATTAGAAGGGTTCGAGGATCACCGGGGCGACCGGCTGGTCACTCACGAAGAAACTCACAATAAAAAAAAATCTGGCGCGCAGCACGCAGGACCCTCTTTCGCTGTTCAACCGGCCGTTCCCATGGCGACACAGACAAGGAACAGTCCAGGCCGAGTCGTGTCGGCCACAGCAGGTGGAAGCTGCTGAAACTCGGGGAGGGGTAATAGTTTGCGATTGCCTACCGAACCATACTTCGGGCGCCACGAGATTTACACTGCTGTAGCTCGAGATCGGCATTTGAGACAGGGTCGGGCAAGGGGTGGGCTATGCGAATCAAATTTCCACCCACGGATATTGAAAGATGAGACTGAAGGTAAAGATTCAGAATAAGTCGTGGTTGAAGCCTTCGTGCTTCCGAAGGTTACTTGAGGTGGTCAATATGTTGAAACAAGTGGTATTAGACAAATTGGGACTCAAAAATGTCGGAATAAGGAAACAGATGTTGAGTTAAACCATCGTTCTGGAAAGTTCCTGATAGTCTCGCCGGAACCCACAACAAGGAGAAAAAACTTCCACAACAAGAGCGAGGGGGGGCCCGCTTTGTGGAAAGCTGTTCACAAACTTTCGGTTCGGCAAACTGTGCGATTTAACACACCATGCACCAAATAAACACACATTACAGCTCCGGCCCGGTGTGACGAGCAAAAATATTCACCGCAGTACTAGTTTTGCTTCGGATGTGACGAGAATTTTTTTTTACCGCAGTACATAAAGAACGCTCTAAATCACACACAGCACATATCTACGAAATGCCTTCGGGAAACATCGCAAGCCGCTGGGGCTATGAGCGGTGAGAACACCATCGTACTTAAGGGGCCAACCCAAGATTGCACGGGGCAGAAAACATACAATCCTCCAGGCACGCAGAAAATAACACAACACAACACGAATCAGTTTTCAGTCCTGCACTGATGCTCAAGTAAATTTATTGCTCATCTATCCGAAAGCCTCACTGCCTCTTCGCCTTGGAGTAACCTCAGACATGTAGTCGTGATACCCCGGGTTCGTGTTGGCAACGAGAGCCGCCATCTCGCCCCTTGTCCCACCGGCAGCCCCTCCCTGCATCCCTGCTAATCTCGACGAAACCCCGTTTCTGTTGGACCCACCACTTCCTCCTCTACCCCCTCCTGCTGCTCTCATGGGCCCTCGCATCGGGCTGGGTGTGCGACCAACGTCGTCGACAAAAAAGTCTTCCTGCGCTCCAAATAGGTAAACACGGGGACGGGCGTGGGTGACAAAGGGGTGGAAACCGTGGTGACGACAGGGAGGAGACCCAGCACATTATGGGACAGAGAGAGATTACAGGCGTGGAAAAACGCCCACACTTGCGGCGGCGGTCGGGTCGGGTCGGATCGGGGGGGGCTGACACGATGGGTTGTAGCTGGGAATACCGAAAGACTGGTCAAAGGTAAATTTCGAGGGCATCCCAACAGCCCACGCCAAACAGCAAAGCAGCCAGGCGTAGATGCAAGCAACCAAGCAGGACCACGCAACAGAGGTATGGTCAAGAAAAATCGCGAAGAAAGCAAGAGACGGGAGGAGAGGATATGCGCACTACCATCGTAGGCGGAAGGGTCGCACCTCTTCACGGCCATCGGCTTCGAGGAAGTCGTCGTCGGAGTCCTCCCGCTGCAGCACGTGCCGCTCGATGTTGCCCGGCGACTGCTCCGCGGCGAAGTACTCCGTGCTCACCTTGTGCACCCTGGTAATGGCCATGTGAACGAGGGTGTTCGTGCCAAGTTTACGAGGCACAAGAAAGCAGGTGCGAGAACAACGGTGCGCGTCAGATTGGGCGAACCCAACGCAACACGCCGAAGGTACAGCTGTCGAAACGAAAAACACAAGCGAGGCAGCACACAAGTCGTGATCCGCTGCACCAAACTGTGCAACAGACCGAGGTTGGGGTGGACGTTGAACCAGCGAAATGTCCCCCAGTAGCAAAACCTTACCACACCCACATACCTCTCTCTTGGCTTGATGATGTTCTCCAAGCGCCGTCCCAGCTTGGTCAAAGGGCTCTCCACGATCAGCGCCATTATCAGGGCGCTGCTGAAAGTCACTCCCGACACGCACACATAGCTCATGAACAGGTCTAGCTTCGAGAAGTGAAACTGGAAATTTCAAGACAAAGAGAGGAAGGGACGGGAGGGTGAGTTGCAGAGATGAGCGGAGGGGCGTGCGGGGTATTTCGTGAAGTGTGCGTGCCCTCTTGGATAAATAAAGTAGAACTTCAAATGTATGCAAGCTGCCTCAGCATTCCTTCCACAGCCGAAAATCGCGGGAAAGCGTGGGGGAGAATATTGACCCCCCCTTTAACCGACGTAACTGCACTCCCCTCAGCTGCGCAGGGGGTTATCAAACCGACGACAGCACTGCGCGGCCACGAAGAAACCGTGCTGCGCCGCTGAGCTTGAGACCAGTGGCACCAGAGCTCGACAGTCTTGTGGCGGTATACCGTAGGTTGCATAAGTTACCACACACACCCTGGGCAATTTTCAAAGCCCAATTACTACACGACGACGACGACGCACAAATCAATTACTTCTACAATGTTTTCGAAGAGCTGTAGACGACGCGGTTCCAACGCCTCCATTTTCGGCACCGTCACCATTTTTGTCGCGGAGCACTCGAGCTTTGACAATCGGTGCAGGCCGCGCAACATCTTATGCAGCCTGCGGTATCCACGTGGCACTATCTGCCCCCAAACCCCTGCACACGCGCAGCATCAGTCGAAAGTCCCGTAACACCCGCGTGGGACCAGAGAGAGCACACTCTCCCTGTTCCCCTTGGATTCGAGCAAGCAGGAGATCACATTTACCTTTGTCGTTGAGTTGAGAAACCAGAGGTTGATTACGAGCGGGTGCAGCAGGTAGGCGCCGAAGCTCAGCCGTGCGAGGGGCGCCCACGCCCTGTGCGCGAGCCACTGCTGCAAGAGCCCCCCCTGGCCATTGAAGCAGACGAAGCACAGGAGTATGAGAGCGAATCCCCACGCCGGTCTGGTGCCCGCGTTGTACAGCGCCAGCTGTGACGCAGTCCACCCGGAGCCGCAGGGGGACGACGCCGGGTCTTGGAAGATGGAGCAAGGAGCGTTCTGGTAGCCAGAGTAGCCGACAAAGGTCACGACGAAGAAGATAACCGCGGACGTTGAGAGCATGATGTAGCGCTGCCAGTCCGCCAGCTTGAACTGCGGCCATCGCATCTGCTTCTCGTGCCACAGCATGGCGAAGAGCATCCCCATCAGGTACGACACTATCCGGAAATAGGGCGCCGTGTAAGTCTCCTCGGAGTACTTCACTACCCACGAGCCGTCGAGGGTCAAGGCGGACCAACCCCTCACATACGTCCCGATGGCCATGGCCGCCGTAGAGGCGACGATGGCAAGGAACGTCGCCGCCACGCCCCACCACTTTCGTCTCATGTAGAGGACGATGAACACGGGGCTCACCATGTAAAACTGCATGTCGTCGGCCAAGTACCAGGTTGGGTAGAAGCACGTGCCAGTCTCACCCTGGTGCCAAGGGACCAGGTTGTTGAGGTAAGTCACGTTGGACCACCAGAACTTGTCGCAAAGGCCGATGAAGAACTCCCAGCGGTACCAGAAAGGTCCTTCTCCCATAAACACGGCCAGCTTCCACCACAAGAGAAGGCTGAAGACGTAGGACGGGGTGATCCTCAGGAGGCGGTGCAGGTAGAAGAACGGAAGCCACGACGATACTCGCTGCACTTTTGCACCATTGCCGTCGAGCTTGAAGCGGCGAAGCATCGCGTACACCACCAGAAACCCAGAGACGAAGAAAAAAGTGTCCACGGAGAACCTCGCAGAAAAAAATACTTGGCCGACAACGGTAGCCAGGAGCCCCCTGGGAGGCATTACGGTCTCAGGGTTGATGTACCCGATAGAAGCCTGAACAGCCAGGATATGGCCGAGCACTACCCACAGCATGCTGAGCACCCGCAGGCCATCAAACACGCTCAGCTCGTTAGCCTCCCCCACAGAAAAAAGCCAGCCGAGGTTCCTGGGAATGGAGAACGCGGCGAGGTTCTTGTTGATGTGGTCCTGCTGCAAGACGTAGACGTCGCCGCCGCCGCCACCACCACCACCGCCGCCGCCCTCCACGGGGTTACGCCCGGCGTATTTAATGCGCTGTGGCCCGGCCCTGTTGCTGTTGGGGGTAACCCTCTGGCCCGACTGCGGGTAGTCTGCTCCGTTGAATAGATCCGCGCATGTGGCGTAGACGATCAACACGAGCAGAAGGCACAGCCCGCTCGTCACCGCAATCGCGTCCCACCCGAAAGTCGGCTTCTGGTAAGTTCCGCACGTCAGCCCCTGGTGCATGTCGGCCGCGAGCTGCGAATGTCTCTGCAGGTTGTAGAGGAAGTGCTGGGCGGTCTCCGTGGAGGTTCCCGACGAGTCCAGCTCCAAGGCTTTTTGCACCAGCCACGACCTGAAGGCGGGCAAGGAGAGGATGTCCGGCGAACACGCCTCCGGCACGCAGAGACCCCCGAAGGGCACGTTCCCCTCGTTGGAAGCCAACGACAAGCTTCCGGCGAGACAGTGGTGGGTCTGCATTACCGCCTGGATGGACGGGTCGAAGAGGGCCACCTTGGAGCACTGGTCATAGTCTCCGATCTGCCCCGGGTAGCCTGCGTTTGGAAGCAAGCAAAGGTTAGGCATTCTGCTGCCCGATAATTTGGAAGGAGCCCCCAAACGCGACATAGCTCGACAACGTGGCGATCTTCGGGTCATCAACCCAAAGCCTTTTTGACATCATGGCAGTGAGTCACGACCCTATCACAGAATGACGAACAAAGTGATGCTTTTGCCTCAAGAGCTGCTGTGCTTGGTTGAAAGCTTCTTGACCGCGCTGATGGCTGCAACAATGCCGACAAGCGCGCGACGTCCTCCTTGTGATGAATTGTAAAGCACCGCTTCATCTTCTTGCGTTGTTGGTCAGCCAACCAGTAATCCCGACGGTGTGATAGGTGGGGGGCTGTATGTATGTGGCGCTATGTAACTAAATCAAGTACGACCGCCTCGGATCCGTGGACTACACCGCAAAGAAAATGTCATACCCATGAGCGGCTGCATGAGGTAGAAGGCGTCCAAGTTGAGGGCGCTGGAAGCGTCGTTCGCCACCGCGAGGCACTTGTCCATGGCCTGGTGGTGGTGGTGGTGGTGGTGGTGGTGTTGGCGGGCAGTGTAGGGCGTCAACAACTCGGCAAAAGGGGGTCCCGTAGCGAAAAAATATGAGCAAAATCATTGTTATGCAAGGTCGTGACGCGGGTGGCTTCGCCCGCCGTCATCCGTGGAGGGTATGGCTGTCTGTGTCCTTGGTAGATACAAAAATAGTGCGGACATCGGGGTGGAGTATGCCACGTGAAAGGTACTGCAAATGTGCTTTCCATGAGTGGAAGGACTAGGCAATCAAATTCTTCCCGGCGAGTTGTGCGTTATCTTCACAATTTCAAAAAGAGTACGTGTTTGCCCGCATTTTGCAGGTGGTGATCAAAAAGTCCCCCACAACCACAACACGGCTAAAATTGTGTATCAGTCGCAGTGTGCGTCGGGGAGGTGATGATGGGTGTGGGTGGAAGACACACAGCAGAGTGGTGATGCGCAAGCTCTCTACGCTGTAAGACACCGAAATAATGAATAGGTTCAAGTCGGAACACAGCAAATTTCCAAGGGTTCAGCCCCGGGCGCCTGTGTCGTAGGCAGAGAGGGCTGGGACCCTGGGGGCATGTCGATGCCCGTGTCTACCTCCAAGTACTGCAGCGTTCCCTTTTACTGGCACGTTAGTTATGCTTTCGGTGAATGTTTACGAGCGCCGTATACATCTTGCAAGATGCAAATGTAACGCCCTTGAACAAAGTTTCTCAGCTTTCACCACCTATGCATAAGTCTAAAAGTTGTTTCTGAGGCAGTTGTGCACTGGTACGGCTGTACGCTCGCTACACATGGTCTTGCAGCGTGCTGCACACCGTACAAGACCAAATAAACAAACTGTCAATACCTCCTCGAATGACAACTGCAACAGCCTAACGCGCACAGCCATACACAGGAGGACGCCGTGGGCTGAAACAGCGGTACACGTCATACAAGTTCAACCGGGATTCCCCACAGCACACAGTACACACAACGAAAAAACAGCGCCCAACCAACCCAGCGCCACGCTCCCGCGTGTGCAAGAACAAATCTACCAGGAACAATTAGTCTACAGCAGCAACTCCATCCCACATGGCACACCAGCAGATGAGATTACGTACAACGGCACGCATGCATAGATAACACGCATTCTCACCGGAGAGAGCATGCGTTCGATGGCGATCTTGCAGGGTCCCTTTCCAACACCGCCGTCGCCGCCGCCGCCGCCGGAAGAAACAGCGGCGGTGGGCGACGGCGTCAAAACATCGCCGGGGCCGCCGTCTGCGTACCTAGCCTCCGCCCCAGCCGGCGACCGCACCACCGGCTCCGCCGCCGTTGATGTCCCAAAACTATTAGCTTTAGCTTCCTCCCGTGATGTTGCCCCTGGCCCTGATGCTGCCGCTGGGAGAGATAAGAGAAGAGTCAGCCACCGCAGCCCAAGCTTCAAGCTTGCACCACCACCGTTGCACGAACGACGGATCATTCCGCGTGCTCGCATGTTTCTGTTCTAGGTGAAGAAGAGCCGCCGCCTCGGCACGCGACTGGCTGTGCGTGATGACCTCCTCACACTTTTCAAATGTTGGTTTTGTTCTCTCCTTTTGCTGCCCTCTTCCTGGGGCAGCGTGGAGGAGAGCAGGAAGGAGCGGCCCGTGGCAATGTAGCGGGAAGCCTAAGCCTTGGCCTGGGCCTGCTGGGCTTCGTTGGTCGTTGTTTGCTGTGTCCCCACTGGCGGCATAACGCCGCCGGAACTTTCTCGCACTCCTATATTTAGGGGGGTCGTGACATGCCGCTTGCTGCCCTATGTCTCTCTCATCTGTCATGCCTTTTGTCCACATGTCAATGTCAATGTAGTCGCAGACACGACAGACCACAGAGGAGACCCATATGGCGGGTGATGATTCGGATCGAGGCCCTTCCAGGGGTGCCCGGGTGAGGAGGAGGCGATGGTGGTGCTTGGCCGCAGGGGTGGTGGTCGCTGGCCTGTGTTCGCGCAGCGTGATCTGGTCGACCTCCGTCGACGATGGTGGTGAGCGAAACGAAATCAATCGTGTTCCCGCGTACCATGCGCCTACCGTATATGACACAAGATAACACACCCCCTGGACCGATTTTCAAAGCTCGATTACTCCACGACGAAGAGGATGCATAAACGAAACAATACGTTTTCGAACAGCTCTCGACGAGACGGTTCCAACGCCGCCGTTTTCGGCGCTGTGACTCTTCCTGCTGTTGAGAAATTGAGCTTTGAAAATCGGCCAAGGGGGTGTGTTATCTTGTGTCATATACGGTACATACACTATGTTTTTCAACACTACCGCTGTCCATGTGTCCATGCCGTATTGACGCCCATGGCCCCCCTTTGCTTTATAGAAAGATTATGCTCGAGAGAGATGAACCGAGGGCGAGAGAATCGACACCGAGAGAGTCGAGAAATAGAAGAAGGAAGCAAAAGCACGTCGATAGCCTCAATCGTGGTTTTGTCAATTTCGCTTCGTCTCTCCGTGTTCGCGACACCACGCCTGCACGTCTGCGCCGCCAACCTTTTCAGTCTAATAGGGCGTCCCACAGACTCCTTAACTGTTTTACGCGACAGACGACATCCATCCCATCATCCCAACCTCCTTCCTGTGGTCGCCCCGCGCACAAGGGGTAGCGGCGCGCACAAGGGGTTGGGCCAATCCCATGTGTTCGGGGCGACCACAGGAAGGGGCCAAATGGCGGCGCGAGCTGTAGCGCAGCAGCGATTCGATTCCAACATTCGAACAGTTCGAACGTTCGAAATTTCCACCTAGTCGATCGTTTATCGTTTACGCCGTTTACGTTCGGCAGGTCTACGAATGTTTCTCCGCCCTCCGGATATATCCAGATTCCCGTGACTAGACGGAATATTAACAAGTATTTCAATTTTGTATACGTATGATAGCATATGCAAGTTCATCGGGTAACGATTGTGGGTGATGGATGCTCAACATGAGCCGAACGCATGCAAGGTACCCGCCCCGCCAGGGGGAGACACTGCACGCCCTGCAAATTTGCATGAACCGTCTGTCGTATGATGTGCATACTGTGCGACTACCGACCGCTGCTGTGTACGGTGCAACTATAACTAAGCATTCGGCAGTAGTCTACCACGCGCAAAACTCTCCCCGTGCAACTACACGGTCAGAGAAACTCCTTACTTGCAGTTGCCGGAATCACCACAGACTGCTTGCTTGTTAATGGAAAAAAAATCGTACATTCATGTGTTCGTGCAATGAAGTCTGGCCCCAGTTGTACTTGCCCCCTATAACCCGGGGCAAGACGTGCCGGGCGGGATCATCGAGATGCTCGGCAACAACATGACGATAAACGTGGCTACCTTTTATTTCGACTTGGTTACACAGCACAGCAGTAGGCCGTTTCAGCCCGCCCCCGCCCCCCGGTCTCCCCCCCCCGGTGTTTGTCATCGGGGTTGGGTTTTCGTCGCTTGGCAACGACGTTGTAAAACAAGCCGCCCCCTCGGTGTTTGCCATCGGGATTGGGTTTTCGTCGCTTGGCCACGACGTTGTAAAACAAGCCAATTCACTTCGTGAACTCGGCAACCAGGTTACCGTTTTCTTTTTTTTTACCTCTGGTTTTTTTTTTTGGCGGTAACCATACTGGTGGTCGAGTAGATCATGCTGTGCGGGGTGGAGAACGCTCACTCCGCGCAAGGGGGATGATCGCACCACGTTGTGTTAAAATGGTCATGCATCCTCGAGGCAGTTACACAGTGCTTACAACTGTCTCTGGAAGTGAAAGCACCAGAAAATAAATTAAGTCATACGCAGCTGTCATCCGTACGCAAGGAAGTAAGCACAAGATGCCGAACACCCTTAGCAGGATGCAGCTCACCCTTCATGCGACTCGCCAAATACCTCACGGCGCTTCGCGCTTGGTGATGTGAGAGCCTGGTCCGGTGAGAAGCCGGCGTGCTCCGTCCCGGCTTTGTAGGGATGCGAGGTCAATGGTCTAATGACTACGGCATGCACGACTATGAGTACACCCCCCCGCCCCCCCGGTCTCCGTAAGTAGAAGGAAGGTACAGGAAGATGTTTGAGGCATAGCCAGGAGAAGACGGTAGCTGTACTGGGGCATAGGAAGTGGGTTGAAAAGGCGGAAAGTGGTATCGATAGGATAGACAGACTGGGGAAGACATTTTTTGAGACACCTTTGGCAAAGTAGGAAGGAACGATTGGCCATCGTTGATCGGTCCTGTGGGAACAATTCTCCGTCCTCCCGAGGGCGCGTGGTCAGTGGTCAAACCACTAAGGCATGCAAAACATAAGAGTACGCCCCCCCCCCCCCCCCCCCCGCCCCCCCGCAAAAAAAAAACCCCGGGGGAAGCCCTTTCCCCCCCCCCCCCCCTTCCCCTTTTTTTCCCCCTT